CTTTGACAGAAGGGGCGGTGTGACAGGACAGGAATGATCCACGAGTTAGAAATTCAAGCTTCAGAGATGCAAGACTGCTGCTATCCAATTTTGTTGTATGCCTGAGAGACATTTGAGAAGAAGCCTGTCAGCATTTTACAGGCTGCTCCATATTCATTTATTTAACTAAAGTCTTTCTACAGGAGTGCACTGGTCACCTGCTTTTTTGCTTCCCCTCTTGCTGTATGATCTGGCTCTGGGTCAGCTTCGGTTCCCACCCTGCTCTAAGGCACTGAGGTAACAGGGCCAGATGTGCTCTGAGGGGCATCACCAAACCCCAGTAGTGCCACAGGCTGGTGCAGCTGGCTTGTGTACTCATAGTATTATACAGTTTGCCAGCTCAGAAGGTAATTCTCACCGAGACAGACTGATGTGGATTGCTGTCACCTCCTGTTGTGTGTCGGGGGTCACTGATTTCCTAAGATCTCTCAGGAATTTCTGCCAAACGTAATTGCTCTTTAGGGGCTCAGGACACTGTTGATAACCTTGACATCTCTTCCTCTTTTCCCCTGTCAGACTGGAATTTTTATGGGGTTTGGTGCCTTATATAGAAGGGGCTAAACTGTTAATGAGTGTTGGGGTTTTCCATGTGGCTTGAGGAGATCTGAGGTTCTTGTAGCTTCTCCTATCCTTAACACCTACTGCGTGGCCTCCTTCAAGTGTGAAAGGCTTGGGCTCAGTAACCTACACTGCTTCTTCCAATCCTACATGCTATGCTCTGTTTACATAGCAAAACATGGTACAAAATATGCAGAAGATTTTAAAGAGAAACCAGGTCACTGGACTTCGTACTGAAACACATCCTCTTGGGTTCTTCTGGCCCGTCTCTGCCAGAAGTGGAGGAAACTAATTTGTGACTTAAAAACCTCTCTGTCCCTTTGGGGCGAGTTGGACCTTAAGGAAGATGGAAACCTCACTAATAGCCCCAGTCTTTTGACAGATCCCTGTGCGGTTTGCAAAGAAGAGGAAGGAAGTCCTTATTTTCTCCACTGTTCCTTGCACTGTTGCATAAAGGCAAGTAAGTTATACAATAGCTAAACAGGGATTACACAACTGAGCTCCATAAATCTAAATCAGAAACAGAGTCTCTATCCTGCACTGGACAAACATAAAAATGTGGAAGGGTGAAATTCTGGTCCTAATGAAGTTAATGGCAAAGCTCTTGCTTACTCTGGTGAGATCACAGTTTCATCCCAAATCTTGGCTCAAGCCTGTGGCTGGCTGACCAGGCTGGATATTTAAAGCATATCCCTGTTAACTTTTTCCAAGTACTGGGATATTAAGACCTTAAGACCTTCCTTTTTCTTTCTTTTTTTTTTTTTTTTAAAGCTTTTTGCTTATGATAAAGAAATGCAGAAAAGTATTTTAAGACCAAGTACTGAGCAACCACTTGCAAACCTGAACTGGAAGCCTAAAAAGGGCCTGACAGACTATCTCTGAGTGCAAGAAAAAATATTAGTGAAGTAGTTATTCCCATGCTTCAGTGTCAATACTTTAAGCCACTGAAAGCTGCTGCTGAGTCACACTACTTGGGTATCAGAGGACGAGATCAGAAACCTTGACCTGTGAGGGCTGGGAGTCCAAACAACAAAAAGCAGACATCAACAAAACAAATAAAAGCCCCTAATGAACCTGAGACCTAAGTTCTGCCAGTAAATAACTTTGTGAAATGATCCACTGTGCTACAAGGACTGCAGTGCAGCAGTGTCACTGGAACTGTTTGACACACAGACCAAACTAATTACTTGACAGTTGTTTTAGGTCGGCCTGGGGTGGACAGCAGTGCTGGGTAAGAAAAGCCACTGCAGTTTCTTCTTGTCCCTGGGCTCATCTGGTCTGACGATTGAATACTACTGCTGTTACACTGAATGCTAGCATGTACACCAGGGCTCCCCCCACCCACAAGATTCCTGCCTGATGAAAAAGAAAGGAAAAAAAGAACAGAGGAGAAAAAGGAAAGCTTGTGCAATCAGGGCATGCATCACATGTATTCCCAGCCCAAGGGTTATTTCTTTACCCCCGTTCCCTGAAGCATCTCTTAACAACTGAGCTGATTCAATGCAGAATGACATTAACAATCTAACAATGAACAAGGACTGGGGATCATCCTTACCTCACAGAAGCAAGCTATAAATAATCATGTTGAGCCAATCTAACATCCTGACAGGGTGGTAGGATCCCAAAAAACTGATTCCAGTGTATTAATAAACACAAATGCTGAACCATTTCTTGCAGAGCGTTTTGGAGCTGTGTAAATCCTTCCAACAAGCATCATATAAAGCTGTCAAGGTTGGGGAAGAATTGCTTCTATGTATGTGATTAAGCCTGAGCAGTTAAAAAGACTTAGCTTGCTATAAACAATTAGGTATGGTAGGTCAGTGCCATCCCAGTTCATCGCTGACAGTTTCATTACTTAGGCCTGCCATGGATATAATTGTCCAGGCAACTGTCTGGAAAGTCGTCATAGCCCGTGACTGTTTCATGACGAGCTTCTGACCAGCCCACATATGGCCCAAGCAGAGCAGGCCAAAACCTCACAGGCTCAACTGTAACTTCCAACTTCTATCACTGTGAAACATGGTGGCATGGCAGGCTGTGGCTCTGTCCCTCCTCTGCACCAGCTAGAAGCCAGCTGGAACAGGAGGGGACAGGGACAGAGAAATGGTCCTTCTTGTTTTTCTCACTGTGCAGCAGAACAAGCAACTACCCAACTTCAAGTTTCATACTCATCCATCATACTGAAAGCTTACACCATCAATTTGGGTGAAGCCATGCTACTTTATATCTTCATTCACACTTGTGTCTTTTACTACCACCTCTCTACACTTACCTTTCCTGCCTTATTCATCCCCTCTCTCACATCCATGGTTGCACCCTCTTCACACTACTCCCCTCTTTCTTCTCCTTTCTTACACTGTGGACCCCAGAGAACCTCCCCTGACCTCAAAAAAAGTGATGAAGAGGGAGAGAGGAAGGAAAGAAGAGAGTGATTCTGTATAAGAGGCAGTGAGAAATGCAGTGTACTCCTTGAAGGAGGTCCTTTGAGAGGTACCCAAGGACTAGCCAGGTTACCCAGAATTTCCTTTGGTGAACCCCTGCTTTCTCCAGGTTATGGGTCTTGTTCTAAATTTATGCTTCATTGGGTAAAAGCTTTGCTTGAGTGCTCATGTGTAAGACTCAAGGATTAAACCCAGAGGTACATCAGCAAACAAGAGCATGCCAGAGACAGTACACAATCGCATGCCTGTGCCAGGCCTCAGACATCCCCAGGAAGCCCATACGATTACTTAGCTTCCATCCATTTTTGCGGGTAGTTTTTCTGCAGTGGGGAGTTATTTATTTTTTCCAAAAATAAGCAGCGCATTTGATTTGTTGTTCAAAAATGCTGCCTCTGACTGTCAAGGCCTTTGCAAACACTTACTGTTAAGCACATTCATTCTTAAGTGTAATGACGAACTTGGTAAACAAATCCAGTCTCACTGAAGTACAGAACAGAGACACGTCTCCAGTCCCAACAAGTTATTGCTCATATTTCAGATGCAAAATCAAGAAACACTGGCCTTTGGTGCTCACTGGTGTCCTCGCAAACACAAAGAGAGGCAGTGATTACCATTCTGTATATTTTTCCAAGTTCTGAAGCGCAGTCAGGCTTGTTTTACATTGACCAAATAGCTTGAAGTGCCAAGTTTCCAAAATAACAAAATATAAGAGGAATCTGGCTCATATGTTTACTAAATGCTAGGTTTGCCTTTTGAAAGAAAAGACAAAGAACAGAGGCGGCTGTTACTTCTCAGCTGTTACATGAAACAAGACTGAACAGTAATTCTTGTGTGTAGCTTCCTCTGCCCTGTCTGGCTTCAACTGAACCGATCTCTTTCCAGGCATCCCACAAACACTGGCGCTGAGGTGACACTCTCCTTTATGGACACAGCAGCCCAAACTGGGTGGCTAAGGAAGCGGCCTTCATTTTATCTACAAGGAATTCACTGGCAACAAGTCATGTGAGAGGCAGATACAGAAAATGTGCTTAAGGATGCTGAGTGGCTTATCTTACAAGACAAACTCCAGGGTTTATAAACAGCTTGGCCACAGATTGCCTTCCCCAAGACACAAACACCTGATAGCTTCAGTTCCAATCATGAAATTACAAACATAGCAAACAGCAAATATTGTCAACTACATGACTTCCCACATAGTACCAAGACAACATCAACAACAGTAATCAACGTACACAGTCCTGTTTATCCTAGCAATCCTACAAGCCCTTTGCAAACTTCAGAGATCACTTTATGGCAACCAAGCTCAGGGAAAACGGCCTGGGCCAGAATGAACAAGCATGATGGGCTACTCTTACCCACCACAGAACAACTGTTCAACCATAAGCAGTAGTACTGAAGACCTGGCTTAAGGTAGGGAAAACTTACTGACAGCCTTTGAGGTGCTGAGTATACATCAATTTCTCACCTACTCTCTTCCTGAGTAACATAACTGGTCCAGTGCTGCTGTCCAGTACTTACACTTCCTCTAATAAACTGAAACATTATACAATACCTGAAAGTTACAATTTCCATTTGTCTTAGCAATATATAAGAATGTATTTTAATAACTTCAAAGTGTTGGGCCAAATTTGATTACCCACGCTTCCTTTTTATCTGTTGCTGCTTCTTCTTCACTAAAGCCAAGTAAACATGCAACATTTCTGCCCAAAGAAAAAGACCTTTCTGTGATTTATTATTAGAATATAAAGCCAACATATATAAAAACCAGGACATGCCAATCTTACTCTGATTAACTCTCCAAATTTACTAAAACTTTGTAACTCAAAACCAGGTTCTCCATATGCCAGCCTCTAAATTACCTGACAGACAGATGGTCGAGTGTAAAAGCAGAATCAGTCACATCAATGTGGTAAGATGACTGAACAAGACCTAGGTTATTACTAAGTACAGCAGTTCACTTACCCTATAGTAGTCCGTGCTGTACACATCTCTAGACATCCCGAAATCCCCAATCTTCACCAGTAGGTTCTCACCAACCAGACAATTCCGGGTAGCAAGATCCCGATGCACGAAGTGCTGTGATGCCAAGTAAACCATACCAGCTGCAATCTGCTGGGCAATGTGAAGCATCTGGGACTGGGTCAGCTCAGCAGGACGGTTGCCTTCTGCCATCAGTACTGCATCTGGTCCATGTGCCCTGCACCAAAATACAAGCTGATTAAGTGACAGGCCACTTGTAAGCTGGAGAGGTGAAAGGCATTAATGAGCCTAAAACCACATAACTGACTTCCTCAAATATAATAACAAAAAGGGCTAAAAATTCATCAGAGAAATAGGGGAAAATTTGTATCTTGGCTTTTTTCATTTACTGTTTTCCTTCACTGTGTGAAAGAGAGGTAGTGTGAAGAGCATTACACAACAGGTGATATATTACTCATGGAAATAAGGCACATGCATTCATAATATACCCCTCTGTCTGAAACCACTGCTTTTCTCCTGTTCTGTTCTAGTAATCTTTTCTGGAGAAAGGCTGGCAAATGTAGCTGTCCGGTAACTGAGGAAAACCTTATCACTCTATAAGAGTGAAAGGCAATAGAATGAAAGGTAATGAAGTGGCATGCACAGCATCACTTATTCCTATGACTGGCATTCCTTGATTTCTACAGGGAAACAAGCCCTTGATCCTTCCATCTTTTCTTAAAGAAGAAAGAGCTAACTTCCTTCTGAGATGTCATCTGAGAAACAAGGGCAGCAATTTCACATTTACACTTCTAATTTCCTATCCAAATACAGAGCAGGAAACCATTTTTGCTTATTTCATCACCAAGGCTGAGTCCTGCCTGAGATGGGAATTCTTGACAACAGGAAGAAGACACAAAACACACAGGATTTGAACAACTAAACAGCTTCAGAAATACGAGCTTTTCAAGCCCTACGAAGTCTCTAAGATGCAATAATCAACTGATTAATGAGAAACTTTTATGCACTCCAGCAGAAGGAAAACCGTTTTGCATTTGGAAAGCCCAGCGAAGTACTGGAACACATGTGCTTCACCCACCTTAACTGTTAGCTCTGTAACATCCTAGTATCTTGAAGATACAGATATAAACATTCCTACACACAACATTTTATAGTAAGCATTACTAGCTAATCCTTGTCCAATTAATGAGGTCCTCTGGCAATCATTCCTCACTTGATACACCTTGTAATATTCTGAGGCTCCCTTTCAATCCGTTTAATTATTTGCGTTTTCAGAAGCCTTTTTTATTCTATTCCTGCAGAGTATTCTTTCTAAGACACCACCTCTCCTCTTCCCTCCTCAACATTTTTTTTTTTAAAAATACTCTAGAACTGATTTTTATTTCCTCTCAAAAGCCCTTCCTTCCTACAAAGAAGAGTTTCAGAGAATCACCTTTCTAATCAATAGAGGTGAGGCCTTAATTTGTCCCTAGGGGAAGGGCACAGGAGTTTGGAAAAGAGTTGCAAATTAATCAAAATCTGTGAGATCAAATCTGACACTACCTATTAGAAACATGATATTAAAATTGCCCCAAGGGAAGAACTTCATGAGCAAAGTGACAGATGTGAGAAAGAAATGAAGGAGGGTGTGTAGCATTGCTGGGACTGCATCTGGTACCAAGCAAAGCAGCTCTCTACCACAGGGTACATACAGGCAGCCACTCAACTGGTCTGAGTTGAGGGGCGATAAACGGGAGGATATGACATCTCCAACCAAGACTCACAGGCAAATTCCTATTGAAAAGCACTGTACCTTTTCATTGCATTGATTTTTTTAATGACTGCTCTCAGACATGAAGCTCTGAGTCACTATATTAGAGAATTCTTCATCTTTCACAAGCTTCCTTGAGGACATGGTCTGTATCTAATGAAACTTTTGGATTATTCTTAACGGTCCATCCACCTTGCTTGTCCTCTTGGTGTTGGCTGTAAATGAGGTGCTCCTCAGTGTCTGCAACAGCCAGGAACATTGACAGAGGTTTTTTTGGATCCACGCCAGAACAAGCACAGGGCAGGCATGACTTGGAGGCTTTAGTCCTAGATCTGAAACAGCCTTTGGTTGCATGCAGACAGCAAGGCTCGTTTGGGTTAAATTTTGGATTCATTTTTCCCCGACAGCCTTTGGTGGCGCTGCAGGGTAAGAAATACAGGCTCTTACAGCCCGCTTACAACTAACCTCTGATCTGCAGCACAAGCTGCAGCAAATGTGAGAGGAATGACAAATTGGAGCTTAGGTTTAACAGCTTGTCCCAGCATAATCATTTTATGTTCTAAAGACAAGGGCTGATGAATAATTAAAAAAAAAAGAGAAGACCTAAAGTAGGAAATACATTGTCTGCTAAACTACCTTTCTGTACGAAAATTCAAAATCAGAGTTATGAGGTAAGAAAAGGCCAATCAAAAAGAATCAAAGAATAAGTATTTCTTATGAAATAAGGAATTATTTCTTATCAGCTGCGAAATCTGTCTTCTAATGGAAATTCAATGTTCTGAGCGAGTACTGGGACGACATCTTAGGAAACTGCAGTTCTCTCCTGATCCACTGCAGAGGTCCAAGCAGGCAAATGTAAATGCCCCGACATGGCTCTGACAATATACTTAAATCCTCTGCCAGAGAGACAATCAGATGCATTTGCTCTGCATCCCCAGTTCAGGCCCTGGTCTCCCTGCCAAACCTGGCAGCCCTGCCAATATGGGAGGATGCTAGTTGATGTCATTTGCTTTTACAGTGTGGTTACTTGGTCAGTAGAGATTGGAAAGATAGCAAACTCATTTCACATAGGCTATCAAAAATGCATAAATGATGACACTAGCAGTCACTAGCCATTTCAGTCAGACAGAAAATCTGAACCTATTTAAAAGGACATCAGTTTTGATTGTTTTACAGCTTTGTCACAGGTATCTTTCCAAAATGGTGGTACCCCTAGTTATCTTCAGCAAGAGAGATCTCAGTACATTGAAATGCCTTTGTGACATCCTTTGATGAAAATGACATAGAAGACCTTGAAAGAACAGTCCCTTATGCAAATGGTTTTTTGGTTGTTTTTTTGGGTTTTTTTTACTGTTTTTTTTACGTAGGAGCAAAAGCTGTCTCCTAACTGCTTATTTTTATGTCAATGAGTACAGGCTAGTGGAAATGGCACATACACAAGGCCACTGTTCATAACTTCCTGGTTCATGAGTTACCTATTATTGTGAACCTTAGGTATCATCTATTTATTTATGACTGCTTTCCTGCCAAATTTCAATTTCCGATGCACATTCCTGAACAGCTTTATGAAATAAAGCCCTAATCCGGACACCAAGATGTAGCATTTTCCATTGCACTGAAGTTTCCATGGCTCACAGTTTTCTTGCTTCAGATTAATGGCAGTCTTTCCAAAACACTGAGAGGAGGGAAGAGAAAAGGGGTTAGATTTCAAAAGCTCTTAGACGCCTACAGATAGCCATAGGTGTTGAGTGGGATCTTCCCAAGTGCTACCAGAAAGCCTGCAAGAAAATGACTCCTACTGTAAGATTTATGACCAAACATTTCAGAATACACTGAAATATACCGGAAACAATACTTCTTTGGTTCCCATTCCTTTGGTTCAAGCATAAGGCTTGACTTAATGGTACTGCCGAAGAGGCAAAGAAACAATGAGCCCCACATCCCAGTACAGAAGACGAGAGTTGCACAGATTTGCACTCCTAGGTGTCGACATTTTCCAGTGGTAGCAGTTAATTTGACATTAAGTACCAGTAATACCTACCTTCTCTGACCACTTCTGGCTCAGCAGCACAATACGTGTTCGTGGATTTACCTGAGGAATTTGTTAAGATCTCCGTGCTTCATATACTCAAAGACCATGATGAGCGGATCACCCTCGACACAGACGCCGTAGAACTTGACAATGTGCTCGTGTTGCAGGTTAGTTAGCAGCTCTGCCTCACGGTGGAAGTCCTTGCGGGCATTGTCACTGGCATCCTTCAGTGTCTGGCGGAGAAAATGAAAATGTAAGGAAAGGGAGATGTTCCCACAAGGTAGCGAACATGTGGGATGGCACTGTAAGGGTAAGATAAGGACACTCTACTGTAGAAAGGATGGAGGAAGTACTTCTTAATAACTCTTTTAGAAATGCAGATGTGATGTTTAAGTGCAATTAAATAATTGCAGTACAATTTTAATTCTCCTGCCGCACATCATCCTAAACAATGATTTTTCTTGTAAGAGGATGTAGGAATACTCATGATATTACTGTGCCAAGTGTTTTCCAAACACAGAACAAATAAACTGATCTTATCCAAAAAATATACTAGTACACAGCTGGTTCATATCCTTTAGAATTTAACTCAGGCAAACCCTAGTATCCTGTTGGTATTTACCTTTCTCGTAAGTTCTTTACAGTAAAACTCTGCTTGCTTAAAATATTTAGTGGGAACGTAGATGCATTCTTTATGTATTACTAATGTCACTGTTCCTGATGTTGGCCCCTATGGTGTGCTATACATTAGGTAGATTTATACAAGGGTACGTCCCTGGACCTGAACTTACAACCTGAGACTTCAGCCAGAAACTCCTTTGAAATTCAGTAAACCTACTCACATGCCTAACATTAAGCATATGTATAAGTAACTGGAGGATCAATCCTAAATTCATAGACAGAGAGGAAGTAGATGCAGATCAGAATTCTGGGGTGTCAATTTTTCTCACCTCCTTTTATTTATACAGCTCTAAACTCTTGCATATTTTCATTTTGAAGGAAGTATATCAACACTGGATCAAATAGGAGTCTTGTATGTTGTATAATGAAATAATGCTAATTTAACTGCCACACATCAGCAGTTTCAGATCTCTTCTGAAGGACTACACTTCCTGAGCAAAGAAACTCTTTCATGCACCAAAAAAAGCAAATTCTGACACCAATTAAATGAGGAATAATTATAATTGACAATAAACCACTACTAGGCTCTACCTTCAAAAGGTACTGTGGTTGCACTATACTAATTCAAATGATATTTTTAAAACAGTAAGAGAAATGTAGCAGGTTACCAGTGTTCACAATTATTATTCACAGAAACTGATGTCTGGGATCTGTACCTCTGGATTTTAACTACACCTAGACTTCAGACAAAGGAAGATGAGACACAAAAGTAGTGGCAATGTTTTAACTAAAGATGCTTTTTCCTGCCCATCTGGTCACTTTATTTTCTACCCTGAATTCATATACAGAGCATGGGACCAACCACACTCATCAGAACAGACACAGAACAACTTGATACCGTGCAATCATTCTGCCAACAATGATTCCAGTTCTTAGCTGCAGTGGTCATGTTTTTTTCAAGCTTTTTCTTTAACAGGGACAATTCTGTCCACATTTCTAGTATTATATATATGCATGTGTAAAGAAGGGACTAAAACATGACTGTCAGGGAAAACACTTGCTTTGCTTGTGAAACTGCAACTGCAGGTCTTGAAAAACGAACAGCAACCATAATAATGTTCAGATGAGGCGACAAGAAGCAGGGCAGACTGGATAGCCATCTACCAAGTTCAGGGGCTTTTCCCTGTGGATTTCAGGCTGTATGGATCCTAGAGGCAATAGAAATCACTCATGCCACAGATGTCCCTTCCCTGAGGGACCCACATATGAATCTCGTGTGTCTTCAGGCCCAGAACCCTCCTTCCACAAGTTTTACCAATAGTGATGCAACAAGGATACTGCGTCATCAAAGCTTCACAAGCTAGGATACATTAGTATACACAGCTGTATCAGGTAAGGTGGATATCAAATTGGCTCCCCACTATGGTCCCCACACAATCACATCTGGACTGAGCAAGGACTGAAATTCAAAAGTCTTCCAATGCTTCTGGGCTCTGGGATGATGTTTTAACATGATACAGGCACCAACCCACAGTCCAATCTATGCTATATAATTAAATCACTGGGAACAACTCTGTTGTCACCTGAGTTTCCTCTGGTGGTTTCATGTACGAAGCAATTGGACTCTAATTCTTCTCAACAACAGAATTAGGAAAACAATTAATATAGAAACCGTTTTTAAATAATAGCAACCTGGAAGGCTCGTTCCCTGGAAAGACAGTAAAAACGCTGACAGCTCTGCCCTGTGAAGATGGCATATTGTATATTTCAGAAGATGCTTTTTATCTCACAGAAACAGCAAAATTATCATATGACAGAGCAGTTGCCATGGCAATTACACATTTTCTGTCAAACAGCAAAATGCAGGAAGGTCTAAAACCCAGGTAAAACTCAGGGAGGGTTTCTACTACCAATGGGCGACTTGAATTTCTGTCACTCACCATTGCAAAACCCCCTTCTCATTATTTCATGCAGCGCACAGAACAGACACAATGCATGAGAGATAGCTGACACAGTCAGGCAAGGAGGAGACTGGAAAGTGAAAAAATAAGTACGTAGAATTTACATAGAAATGACATTGACTAATGCATTTAGCTTGTTCTCAGTGCAAGAGGAAAAATAAAACCAAAATAAAACCGTTAAGAGCACAAAGAGAGAAAAAGACATATTCATTATTATTATCATTACTGACAAGTAGGCCAAAGCTCTGCATACAAAGCACTCTCACCTGTCGACAGGAGTTTTTCCCTGAGTAGGAACTGAGACACAACCACATGTACTTTCCAACCACTCAGGCCAGCAGCTAAGGAGGAGGGACACGCTCCCCTGGGCAACAGAGGGACGCCCTGGCTGTTACAGGAGCCCCACATCTGCTGAGTTCATCCTTGTGACAGTCAGACAGCCACCCCATGCTTATTCTCCTCCACAGAGTCCTTGCCCAGGTATCCACATACCATCTGGTCCCTGCAGACCTGTGCACTGTAGTGAGTGCAAACCGCCAGCTCCTTAGTTGAGCCTGACACCACAGAGCTGCATTCACAGGCAAGTCAGAGCAAGAGCAGGGGGATGTGGCTCTCACCAACATCAGTATGACTTGGTAACAAAACTCTCACAATAGCTGTCCTTTATACTGCTTCAGCCTTCCCCTATGAAATCCTTACTACTGCTCCCCATCACCATACAAGAGATGAGTGGTATATTTCTTCAAGAAATGAAGGGGTGGTTTTGACCCTTCTCTGAACTGAAGACCCAAAGAGTGGGAAACCTCTGGTTTTCCTCTGCAGGTGCCGTGGAAATGTTCTTCACCTCACACACTTAGCAGTCTGCTAGCTGAGCGCAACTCTGGAGCAGCACAGGGTGAATCCCTCTCCCACCTCCCAGGGGAGCCAGAGACAGCTGCTAACCTAGGCCCTGACAGTCATCTTCACCTCCATCTCTGGCCAGGTTAGCTGACAAGTGATGTGATGTACAAACTCACGTGGGGGGAAGGCTAGCACAAAGCCAGTGCAAGCAGCTTAACCTGTGGTTAAGCTCTCTGTTCACAGGGTTTGACCCACAGAAAGCACTTCCAAACACTCAGTGCTCCCCCTAAAAAGCCTGATGGTCAAAACAAATTTAAACAGATTGTCTTTCTCCTCTTCCAAGGAGCAAAAGCTCAAGCACTTTGGGTTGTTTATGCTAAGCCTGATTTTATATCTTCCCAGATTTTTCTGGGCCTCTTAGCTCCTAAATAATTTGCTGCAGCAACGTCAGCATTTTGGATATTGGCTGGCTGAAAAGGATAAGGATGCATGTTGAGTCAGAATGATGCTCAGGGCCAGGCACGAACCGTGCAGTTGCCCAGCAACCGGCAGGCACAGGCAGCCAGCAGGGACCACCAGCCATCCTGATCCACCTCGTGCAGGTGAGATTGTGCCTCCTCGCTGCCAAAATCCCCCTGGCACCACCTTACTCCTCACCAAGTACACATTCCCTCTGGGCTCACCGAATCTACTTCGTGGAGACAGGTGTGTTGTGGCTTTGCCCACGGGGGTGAAGCTCTCTAAAGCCCTTGCAAAAAAATCACACATTTTTACTGCCAAACCCTGTGCCCAGTGGTGGCATCCAGACACAGTCCTCTGGCTAGCTCTCTGCACGCCAGTGAGGTCCTATCCCTTGAGCTCCACTGTGACTGAAGGATACCTGTGAGCTATGGTTGGTGCCGCAGTGAAAGACAGAAGCGCCAGGCAATTAACCCCTCAGTTATATGATGTGGATCAAGCCAATGGCACAGTTTGCCAAAAAATACACTCTGATGACAGCCAGAGTCACATCTTCAAGAGCCAATGTGAGAAACATAAAATGGGCATAACCTGTCCCCAGAGGTAATTCTTCCCACAGCTGCCTGCAAGATCCTTATTAAGGACACTACAAAGAGTGGATTTTGTAAAAAAAAAAAAAAAAAAAAAAAAAAAAAAAAAAAAAAAAACAAAGTATCACAACAGAAAAACTGACAGATTTGTCATCTAAATCCATGGAGACATCTCTCCCTTTAAAGACTGAATGCTCTTCCTTGTGAATTACACTGAGAAAGAGCAGCAGAGAGCAAGCACAGCGCAGCATTTAACAGCAGAAGTGCTAGGCTCCATTTGGTCCGGACTTTCAAAGGGAGCAAGTGAATGGAAAGACTTTTATTTTGCTATCAAGCAGTTCCCTGAAGTGATAGAGGAAAGGCAATTTCCACTCTAGCTTCACCAAAATACAATAGAAAATTCATTCAGATCTAGTTTTGTCATCTCCTACCTCTTGCTTTCTCCTGTCTATGATATATCCCTTCAGGGCTTAATTTTTTCTCGCCAGTCAACGTGACTGAACAACTCCCAAGTATCAAAAAGCTTGTAACCTTGGCAAACCCCAAAAATCTGTTATTTTTGATGGAGCAAGAAAGCACTCTACAAGTCCATCCTCCTTTCATGTTCTCTCACTGCCAGATCTATTTCTTATTTTCAAACTTGAAAAGATGATCTACTTGATTTCTTTTACTATATGGTTTGATCTAAAATGTACACATGGTTGCCTAATTGTGACTGGTTAGATAAAAGTATTTTCTGATCCCTAGGCACAGCCCAAATTCTAAATGTGTATTCCCCCTGCATTTAATGAGATACTTCAAATGCTGAACACCTTGTTCAGCTTTTGGCAGAACACTACAGATGGAGATAAGAGATTGTTGCCAGGGAGACTCTGCAACCTCTTAAGAGTGTAGTTTCACCAATACTGTTTTCTAGCATTCATCCATAGCTGAGGTCAACAACCAACCTCAACCCTTCCATTCTGGGGTACAAAAAGGCTTGGTATGGTGAGGCAGGTTTGGTGTCCAAGATCTGAGATCAAGCTGGACATCTTCTTACTCCTTGGTAGATTCCCAACATACCATGTAGTCTGTGCCCTTTAGGAGAACCAAACAAATCCCTTTTTTTCCTCCCAGAAATGTGAGAACTATTCTGTATACTTGAAACTCCAAGGTTATGGCTGTTTTCATGCAGCTTCCTCCTCCTCTGGACTGTATTTTAGGAGAGTCGACTGGAGCTGTATGATCAAGAATCACTCCTCTGGGTCTGACATATCATGACTTTTGGATTTCCATACAGCCAGTGTTTAACAGCACATGACAATATTATCCAGAAGTTTGTTATAACAATCCTGGCAGCTATATTAATGACAAGTACCCACCGATAATTTCAGTGGCTGGCTAAAAGAACGGCACAATCCTGAAAAAGAAAGGCCTTCTTTGACTAGCAATTATACACATAACCTACTCACTTAGCTAGTAATAGTTTATTTTTTTAGACACACATATATGTCACATGTATTTTTAATGACCTAGACATTATTTTTCACTAATTATATTTTAGATAGATCATAAAATATTTTGCCCCTTTGTGACACAGTCTGTTTCCCCCCTTTTCCTTATGAAATTCAGCTCTCATTTTATAACCCACAGCAAGATCAAATATCACATTCTCTTAACACTGCATTAGCCTTGTGAACCCTTCCACATCTATCAGAGCAGTTACACTGGGCTATTGCATAGGCAAACACAATAATTTACAAATAAAATAGCATTAGTTGCAACCATGAATTAATAATGGAAACCCTAGATTCTTTTACCTTCACTGCCACCAAGATCTTGTCCTGCTCAGGACAGAGGTTATAGCATTCCGCCAGAAAGACTTTCCCAAAGGCTCCTTCTCCCAGTTCTCTTTTGAGAACGATATTGTGGCGCTTGATGTGCTGCACAACTGTGAAAAGAAGACAAAACGGAGGTCAGAAGTAAGCTGCAAGGCTAGGATGGGATGGGGTCCATGCTTACAGCCAGATCGAGACAGGGTTGCCTGTAGAGTGGGGCGCATGTCATGGAAGGAATCAAAGTGCCCATGTGTCATTCATTTGTGCTTTGCCCAAAGAGACCGAGTTAATATATTTATATTTGGAGAGTAGCGCATTTGCTGGATAAGAAGACATGGAATTAAGAGTCACCTGAGAAAAGGCCATTTATTATCACATTAGGATGACTGCTGCAGAGCATACATAACAGCCAATCCTGCTTTTTTTAAAAACATGAAGACAAAGAATCAGAAAACAAACCAAACCTTTCTCACACCACTGCTAGTTTTGTACCTCTAACAATACCCGAACTCTCTTGTCCAAAGCTAAAAAGTTTTAAAATCAACCTAATCCAAGAAAACAAAATGTGCCCTCTTTCAACGAAATCCAACTTACTCTCTGGTTCTCTTACCACTTCTTCAACTGCTTTCCCTCTCTGTGCTATACTACAGTTACAATAAGATAGAAATTTCGTTCTCACAAACATGATTTACAGTATTGCTCTGAAGTAAGAGAAATAAAAGATGGACAAAGGTTTTAGTCAGCATAGTGGACAGAGCCTTAGTTGAATTGCTGCCCAGAATCAATTGATTCAGACATTAAAGTCCTTGAGCATTTTTATTCAACTCATTTTACATTTTCCTTTCAGCACAAGCTTCCATTAAAAGATTTAATATTTAAAAGACTGTACCAAATTTTGTAGAATACATTATCAATTTGCAATGTTCAAGTTAAATAAAGCACCTGTAAGGGCAGTTTAACTGGCCAACTCAACAGGGTTGACAGCGCGTGTTGCTGAAATTGTACAAAACAGTCAGCATCTACTGATGAATTTAACCTCAGTGCATTTAACTGGTTTTGCAAACACTGAAATTTAACCCTGCCTGGACAAAGCCTATTTGCAACATAAATCCTAAACACGGTGAAGTAAATAATGGTGCACAGGCATCAGGTCAGCTTCTGCAAAGGCATTAATCTCACCTCGGCTGCTTAACTGCAGCGAACAGGACTGAACCCTGCCAATAATTTAGGATATATTCAGATGCAGAACAACCCCTGCCTCCATGCCTGGCCACATGCCTGTTCCAGATGGGGTGACCGCTTACGCAGAAACCACCCTGCCTCCATTACTAAAAGATGGCAAACGGAGTGCTGCTGCTAACAGCAGTGGGGAGAAATGTCACACAGCCTGTCCCCATTGCTGTCACCGGCATTTGGAGAAACAGCCCATGGTCTACGACAGAAAAATACGTGTGCCCCACACCCTGAGCCTATGGCAGGGTAACTTGAGCGCACTGCTTATAAACACACTTTGTATCCATGTGTGTGCATGCGAGGGGATCCCGGTGCTGCAGCAAGCCAGGAGAGCGAGAGATGTCCCCAAGCACCTCCATCATGAGTCTGCCAGGCGGGCAGCGCACCCAAGGAGCGGACCTCCACCAGAGCCAGCTGGCACTGGTGAGAAACCCCCAGGCCAGCATGCAAGCAGGCCCACCATGCCCTGAGAACCGAGTGAGGAAAGCCAGCTTCTCCCCATGCCACATCAGACCCATGAGGGCTTGCTCCTGTCCCTGGAGCTGGTGGCTGCAGGGGGGGGAGAGGCCACACGGCCCATTAATAGCCAAGTACACATGAAATGAGACTGCAAGGTACCAGTGTTTTTGTCTCTTGTAAAACTCTAGTCTAGCATAAGATTAAGTTTAACGTGGTGATGCATTTATATGGGTACGCTTTGTTTGGCCAGCTACCTGAACAGCTCCTCTGCAGTCAGTGGGAATTTGCTTTTTATTTGCATTTCCTCCTCAGCACTGGCTTTTGAAGTAAAGCACAAAATGCAGTCAGCACAAGACAGGCCTGAACCAAAACATATCTCTTCCCCAGGAATGCAATTTAACTGGCATCCCTCGCCTCTGCTAGTACCAGTCACAAGGCAGACAGGCGGGGAGGACCGCTGCCCTGGCACGCCACCTGAGCAGAGGAGCGTGGCACACCTCGTGACCTGTGGTTTAAAAAATGCTTACTAATAATGAGTACTCCCCCTACTCTTTTCCTCAAGAGAGAAGTTCAGCTCCACATTACCCCTGTCACCATCTTAAAATGTCCACAGAGCCCGCAGACAGGGAGTAGGGCTGAGATCCTGTCCTACTGGCATCAGCAGCAAAATTCCAGCAGAGAGAGTTTTTCACTTGGTTCCCTCCACAGCTGCCAAAGACCTCATGATGAACACAGTCGACTTTCTGAATTTTTTGTGGGTCCTCTCCATTTGGAACCCAGCACACCCCCAGTGTTGGCCCTAGCGGTTCACAGGTTTTTTGTGAAGTTCCTGGAGGACTTCACAAACAATAGAGTAAAAATAAATAAGAACAATATCGAATACTTCTCTGTAGTACACTTACAGCTGCTGCTAAATGCTCTTATATAAACCAAGCATTTGAATAAACAACCCATCCCATACCAAACTGTCAAATGCAAAACATAGCAAGCCGCAGAAGTGATCTGTACAGAATATGCTTGCAACTTGTCACACTCTATCCATCCCTGTTACCTTTCTGAGCTGAACTGAGTTACTAAATAAATAAAAAATGACAGTAAATGTGACTAAATGCCACAGATTAAATATAAGAACAATGTAAGTAAATCAAACACGTGATGTGATGGAAATATGAGCTAAGGAAAAAAAAATCCATTTAGCACACTCAGGGCCAAGCCATAATGACACTGGCAACAGC